TTTTTTTTTTTGCTTGTTTTTTTCGTATTTCTTTTCTTTTACATTATTATAAGGTATTTAACCGATAGTGTTCGTAATGTTGGACCATTTGGTTGAGTTGCATATTCACAGAAATAAATTTTGCATACAATTTCTGTGTTACAAAAAAATTTGCTTCTGCTTAAGATTTTTCGCCAGATTTTTTACAAATTTCCTGTTTGAAGCTGAAATACGAGTTTAAAATTTTTTGCAGAATTTTTTGAACTGATAAATATACGTATTTGCTTGAGCTTTTTTGTGACTTGTACTTGTGCTTCAAAGTAGAGTTAACTTGTTAGCAGGATTTGGACGTGTTTTTCATCAAATTTCTTCTTTCTCTTTTCCTACCGCTCCCTCATCTGTTTCAACTGTTGGAATACTTTTTAACGCTTTTTTTATACTTCTACGCATTTCAATAGAGTATTGAACGGGAAGGCAACAGCGTCCTTAACGACTAAACTCTCTGCAGTCGGAGAGAATGGCTTAGGAGTTGTGAAAATTCTGCCCATTTTTTAGCGTAAACTCTTGTTGAAGATTTTTACAATCAGTTTTTTGCCTTTTTTGGTTATATTTTACTAATACAGTTGCTTAGTTGTTGCGTGAAATGAGGTTTTGTTGCATTGTTGTTATTTTTTGTAAGCCGCTGACTAAATATCAAACTCATTGTACCGATTGTGGTTTACTCATTCAGTGAAGTCAATAATGAGCAGGATTTGTGGTTAGATTAGCAGTATCTCATGAAATTTTTGCCAGAAGATTAATTCGGCTAATTTATCTTGAAGTGCAGAAGAATTTTTCAAGATAACTCTTACTAAAATTATATTTTTTTCTCTACGTAGCTTTTTAAGCTTTTTTTTTTTTTTATAATTGAATGTGATAGTTTATCGTGCACAACCGCATTCGGGGCACAGTTTTGTTTTTGAATTGGTCAGTGCAGTTAGAGAATGAAAATCGACGGCTGTCGATAAAATTGAGGCTAAACTGGGGTTCAGCTGTAGAAAAAAGCCAAAGGAAAAAAGTGTATTGCTTCAATAAAATACATTATAAAGTTCAGAATGAACTTAAATAAATAACATTTTGAAAAGGTGTTTAGACTTTAGAAATTAATTCAAGAACTTGAAAGCTGGTAGATAAATGTGCTTTCTAGTGGATTGAAGAAGTCGTTATTTTACGTTCAGGATTGATTCTGATATATCTCCTATTCATAAAAATTTGTGCTTAATTGCGGTTCCGGCGAAAAAGTAAGTGTTCATGAAAGAAACAAAGTAAAACATCGCTTTTTTGCTTAGCTTTACGAATTATCATTGGTGTTGCAGTTCAGTTACTGAAACGCAGCGAAGATGACGTACCGAGCAGTGGTATTTGATATGGGTGGTGTTATCATGAACTACTCTAAGATGCCTTACATTAAAGGGCTTTTTGACCTCTGTATGTGTTAGTGTATCAGTTTTTATTTTTTATTTTATTTTTTTTTTCTGTTGCTATTATTTCAAAAGATTTATGAGTAGATAGTAAACTTTTTCTTCCTCTCTCTAGATAATTTACATCTGGTTAATCGAACTGTCTAGCTGTGTACTCGCCACTAATGTGATTGTAGCCGCTGGTGCATAGCATAATCGTGGCAGTCTTTTTAACTTTATTCTGAACGATTAGGTGAGACTGATAGTGCTTTTATCTAAATGAGTACAATTTTTGTTACTCTCATTATAAATTCTTCATTACCTGGTCATTTCATAATCAGTACTTTAACAACTCTTATTTTCAGCCAAGAATAATAGCATACTTCAAGAAACATGGGATAGCCTTGAACTTGGAAGAACCAATCTAAAAGACTGTGATTCTATATTCAAGGATTTTATAAGTGAAAAGGTCAGCATGTTTTAGCATCTGTTCCTCCAGAAGTGCCATTTTCTGTGTGACAGATAAACTTTTATAGTAGCGCAAAATTAAAACGCACAGACTTAAGAACTAAGAGTAGTTAAAAATTTTTACCTGTTTTTTTAAAATTTGTCTGTTTTGTTTGGAAATTTAAATATGACTGTTTTCAGCCACTACTTTGCGAGGAAATAATGAAGGCTGCGAAAAATGGGCTTGTGCTCTCAGTATTCGAAAACATGACCGAAGTTCTTGAACTTTTGCCGTTTGTTTCTTGCATTTACCCTTTAGACTACTCTTTGAAATTTTTTAAACAGCATGTGGGTTCTGTGGAAGTTAATCTAATGGTAGCGAAAAAAATGGATATAATAACGTAATCTTTGTGCGACATTAGAAAGCTAATGGTTTTTAATGTAAACTTCAATATTTTTATAAATTTTAGGATGAAAATTTTGCCAAAGTTTTACCAGCACTGAAGCAACACGGTTATTTAATTGGTTTATTGACAAACAACGCTTTCCATACAAATGAACGGAAACGTTCTTTGGTAATGGAGGATGCCGTACAGAAGTTTGATGCTGTGGTTGAATCCTGTAGAGAGGGAATCAGAAAGCCTAACCCAGAAATTTACAAAGTTTGTTCTTATTTAGCTATAGGAGAGGTTGAATTTTTGGATAACTTCAATTAACCTGCAAAATTACGAAATAGCTTTTAACTTAAAACTTCATTGTTAGTCGTTTACAGCTGATGGCATCAAGGTTAAAAGTCCGCCCAGAGGAGTGTGTTTTTTTGGATGATTTTGCGGACAATTGTAAAGGTGCTGAAGCTGTTGGCATGAAAGCCATTAAGGTAGGCATTTGCAGCTTTTAACAGGTCACAGCTTATTCCATTCCAAGAACTCTCGTATCTAAAATTCTGAGTTGAAACAAATAAGTCAACTAGGGCTTTTTTTTAACCGACCGACAGTTCTGACAGAGTTTTGACATCGTGACCGAACAAACGATGAATTAAACGACGGAGAAGTTATCAATTTCACGGAAAATTTTAATTTTTATTGTTCCCGTTTCTTACTCAGCAATTTTTGAGGAAATCAAAGCGCATTATTCTTATCAGATTTCAGGTTGGTTATGAGTCAGCAGTGCCTGCTATTCGCGAACTTGAACGTTTATTAGACATGAAGTTGCTATAATTTGAGCACATTTTTTCTCTTACTGAGATTCAAATCAAATGTAAGCTAGATGTTGAAGCTACCCGTACTGTACATCTTCTTCTATAGCAGAAAGGACTGCATTAATTGCATACCTTTCTACTGTTTAGTCATTCCAGAAAAATTATAGTCTACTGTACAAACTTCAGAAATTATTGTTGTGAGTATTTTATAATTTGGTACGTAAATTTTAAATCCAAGGAACAGTAATATCAGTGTTGTTCACCAAGCGTGTAGTAGTTTTGAGTAGCCATTTGAAAGAGTGTTTATTGTTAGCTAGTTTTTCATCTTCAGAGCGTTTAACTGCTTCGTGATGTCACCCTTTTTTACTCGATAAAGTTATTTGATCATTCCAGTCCTGTCGACTTTTATTCCTTCTGGGAATATTTTTAAAATAAAACCATCAAAAGAGGGAAAGAAAGTATGCAGTGGCTTCAGAACAAGTCGTCTACTTTTTATGGCATTTTTATGGTAATTTGCAAAATCTTTTTTAGTTAAAAATTATAGCATCTGAAAAAAAAACAGTTTGTTGTTAAATGTTGAAAAACGTACAGTTATCTTCTTGCAAACCATTGACCTTCTATGGCAATGAGCTTCAGCTACATTTTCTTTTTCAAATTTGCTTACGACTTTTGCAATGCTCGTTAGGAAACGGTCAGATTAGGAGACTTATTTGAGGACAAAAAGAAAAACAACAGCAAAGAGAAAAACAAAAACAAAAAAAAAAAAGGAAAAACAAGTGAAACAAAAATTTGTTGGCCTTTTTTTTCCTCTTTTTTTCTCTTTTTTTTTTTTTTCAAAGTTCAGTTTGGTTTGATTTTAACTGTTAGTGCGCACAGCTGAAGACGGAATTAAACCATTTGATTCGGTGTTCTCGATGCCATAAAAACAGCAAAGTTTTTTTCAGAAAGTGGTTGTCATCGCCACAGAAGTGCTTTGCTGTTGATGTGACCAATTTTGATTTTGACGTTCCTATCGATTATTTTGGTATTTGGACAAAAATTTTTTTTTTTACGGCACAGTTTCGTAATTAGCTTTTCCTTCAATGTTTTTCCAAAGAAAAAAAGTAGAAGGAAGAAAAAGTGAAAGTTTTGAGGAGCCGTTATGTTGCTGTTGTTGTCAGCGGTTACATCGTTATTTCCACTGTCTTGGTCCTTTC